TTAAAATTATATATTATATGGTGGGTTATCATGATTAATGTTTTAAACTCTTTACTCAATCAGATTTCTCTAGTCAATGCTTTGAATAGTGGATTATGAGCCTGTAAATTTAAAATATCTAATGGTGCTTGTATTACATCATTGAACTTGTTTTCTTCTATCTGTAATGCTTTAGTTATTGATTCAAATTTTGTCTGAAAAATAGTAGTCTCCACAGGGTGCTTTTGTATCTTAAGTTTTTTTTTTTGGAAAAGACCAGGACACCAAGACATGCATTTATGGTGGTTTGAAGGCTGACCCATTAGTGCATATGTGGATAGCTGCTTTTTTTTTTTATGACATTCTCTTTAGTTGGTTTGTATTAGATTCCTTTGTTTAAATCTGGTCTATTGTTGTTTTTGTGTGTGTGTAGATTTAAATCCTTTAAAATGCTGTACTTTGATTAATTTAACAAGACCCCCCCCCTTTTTTTTTTCTTTTTTTTTTATGCATCCCCTGAATTAGATGCCAGTAATACACAGTTTAATCACCACACATATTTCTTAGGATCAACAAATGCAGACCTATGTTTAAAAAAAATGTTCACCCTCAACCATCATTATAATATGCCCTCACACCTGCACTACACATTTTCCTGTGAATTTTAGAAGCTCTGAGAGGAAAAAAATAATTTTTGATTAGCTTTTCTCAGCCATATAGTAGAATTTCAAATAATGGAGACACATTCAAAGCTAATTATGGGTCTACCAGGTGGCCAACAAATGAAACTAATTAAAAGAGAAGAGGTTATAGAAGATGAAACAGCTAGAACAATAGAAAAGCATGGCAAAAATAATTCTTGACAGCAAGAAGGAAAAGATTTAAATTGAAGCCATCAAAATGTAGTTTAAAGGTACAAAAAGTAAATTTTATGTACATATCTTGACAGATTGTTGTATAAATCCTAATGACTTATATATTGAAGCAATACAATCCATGAAATAAATACTGCTGCAATACTAGCCAGGTAAAGAAATGTCTATTCCAGACACACTTTCAAAAGCATTGCTACCATTAAAATATCCTACAAGTGATGACTGGAATGATCAAATTCATCTCATTGTGAATGGTTTACCCATGTCAGGTGAATATGTGAACATTTTTCAGCAGGCAACTGCAGATGCTGCTGCTCTAAGACTTAAAGAAACAAATTATGATAGGCTGGCCAAACAAGAGAGCTGAAATTCCACAAGAAATATGAGGATATTCAGGATTTCAAGAAAAAGCAAGTGAAAGCAATAGTTTGCTTTTTGAAGGAAAAGGGATACTAAAAGTATTGTAAAAAGAAATGCTTCAAAAGGTTGACTAAGATCATCTTGGGTGCTATAGATGCCTTGGTACAGCCTAGGAGGTTCTGGGCTGAAATGTCTGGACTAATATAGACATGGTATCTAGCTGTGCAGAATGTAACTCCCAGCTAGGTTCACTGTTGCCACATTAGTTTCCTTTACTTCCTTGGGTAAAGATTGGAGCTGATATTTTTGATTATCTTGCTAAGAACAATTACCTGTAGTAAATTATTAGAGATAAATTTTATCCCAATGCTTAAAGTATCAGATGTGATAATGCATATGAAATCACAACTTGCTGGAGATGGTATCCCAATGGAAGAAATTGGTAGCAACAAACCTTCATTTACTTGCAAAGAATTTCTGAAACTCTCTAAAAGCTGGAGGTTTAGACAGATTAAGGCTAGCCCCAGATATCTACATTCTAGTGTCATGGCTGAAAGAGCCATTCAGAAAGTGAAACAGCATCTTTAAAAAGGTAAAAGTTGGGTCAAAACTAATACGGCCCACTTGCACTTCCTAAATGCTCCATGCCCTGATGGATCTTCACCTGCTCATGGTCTGTCATCTGAGGACAAATCTTCTGACAACTGAGGGCTAATTCAGACCTTAAATCCCAGACAAGAAAGAATCGGAAAATGCTGGGAAAACAAGAAGTCATCAAGAAAAATATTATAATAAAAAGGCAAGACATGCTTAGTGACCACAGATTTAGCCTGACAATTTATGGGAACCAGCAATGGTCATTTCAGAAGCATTAAACCAAGATCCAACTTCACTAATGATTTCACTAATCCAACAGACATTGAGAACCTAACAGCTCCCTCGGCCCTATATAATTCTTGAAGAATTCAATGCCCATAACACTATGTGGGGATCCATCAATACTGACACAAGAGATTGTATGCTGGAGAATATCTTCTTCCAACATGAATTATGCATACTCAATGAAGCAACACTGACCTACTAGCATCCAGGAACTGGATCTCTCACTTGCATTGACCTCACTGTATGCATCCCTAGACTTTAATTTTTAATGACTGTATAAAATTAAGTTTTAATGACTTTACTGTATAAAATTTAGCTCTTGTGATATGAAAGTGGAATAATCATTGAGGGATTATGGTCACGACATAGCCTAAATTTTGCCAATGTGCCAAAAAAAAAAAAAACAACTATCAGAAATATTAAATGTATCATATCTAAAACTTGGGTCAAAACACTAAAAAGGCTCATTTGCCCTTCCAAAATGCCCCGATGGATCTTCACCTACAGGGCTGCTCATAGACTGTCATCTAAGGATAAATCTTCTGACAACTGAAAATAAGAAAAAGGCATCAAGAAAAGTATTATAATAGAACGGTGAGATACACTGAGGGGGGGTAATTTTATGTTGATTATTAGCTTTGATTTAGTTTATTTTAGGTAACATTTTAATGTTAAACCATCACTTGCCCCAGAGCATTACAAGGGGTTTTGAGTTCAAATCACACTCCAGGCGGTTTTGAGGTTAAACCCCCCCCCCCCCCCCCCCCCTCTATAAAACAAAAAATAACACAATCGACATTCACCAAATTTTATGAGCAATGCTAAAGGGGATTTTGAGTTTAAAACCCCCTCCAAAATTATTCTATTCCCTCCCCCTCCCAAACTTCCCTGAAAACAAATCCTGGATTTCCCCCTGAAACCAGCCGTAGTCATTTTAGAAGCATTAACCCCCGAGATCCTACTGGGTAAAGACACCAGATGGAACAACGCACTGAAGAAGTAGGAGAATGTTAAGAGGCACATTTTATGCCTGATATTTAGTAAATGGACAACCCCAAGACAGTATTACATTACTATACAACCTTTAAGGCCAGAGAAAGTGAGCAATACATAAAACATGTAACATAAACAGACTATTGCTGTTGATTTGCTGCCAGTGGTAACTGGATATGGCAGTCAAGTTCGGCCACTACTATATTAACCTAATACAGATATCTAGATTTTTTTTTATTATACAATGTTGATATGACTAGTTTCTCTGTAACATGTTTATAGTGAGTTATAAGAAATCTTTTGTATAGTTCATTTAATATATGAATATTTTTTAAGAGGGAGATGTGATAGAAAGTGTGTTTGTTTTTGAGTGATTAGTTGTGTATGGTGTGTTATTATGTATTGACAAACTAGATGACCTTTCTTGTTAGTACTTGCTTGTTTGAACAGCCAATATAGTGTCTAAGGTGGACTGTGTAGAAAGAGGTCAGTGAACAGCTAAGTACTGAAGGAGATACCATGTACTCAATGAAATGAAATGTCAAGATAATTCATTTATTTGTTAATAGTTATTAGGTCTTTTCATTCTGTACAAGATATCTAATACAGAATTGTTATTATGTAAGAATTTTTTTTTCTTTAGGAATTAATATGTATGAATAGTGAATACAACTATAGTATCAAATTGAATTAATAATATATTGTTTTAGTTAACAATTTATTTATTTTATCTTGCAGAAAAAAATGGTAAATAAGAATCAAGAATGGATTTTAAACCAAGATATGTATGCTAGAAACACCAAGAAAGATTGGTATGCTCCAAACTTAAAAGATGAGGGAGAATTTTCTTATTTTAATAGAACCAACCAGCTGGTTTATGGAGAGGAAAAATTGGAGCAATTTCAATTGGATACAGAAAAAATCTCAACTTCATTAAAAGTAAAAAAAAATAAGATGATTCCCTCAAGTAAGAAGCCATTAGAATGTAAAATATGTCTGAAAGTATTCAATCAGTCTGCTCACTTGAAATCCCATGATCTAATACATTCTGGTAAAAAGTCATTTAAATGTAAAATTTGTCAAAAAGAATTCAGTCACCTGTCCTCCTTAAAATACCATGATCTAATACATTCTGGTATAAAGCCATTTAAATGTACAATCTGTCAGAAAGAATTCAATAGGTCTCAACATTTAAAAACCCATAAGCTAATACATTCTGGTGAAAAGCCATTTAAATGTAAAATTTGTCTAAAAGAATTCAATCAGTCCTCCAACTTAAAACAACATGAGGTAGTACATTCTAGTAAAAAGCCATTTAAATGTACAATTTGTCAAAAAGAATTTAATCTTTCTTTATGCTTAAAAAGGCATGAGGTAGTACATTCTAGTAAAAGGCCATTTAAATGTACAATTTGTCAAAAAGAATTTCATCAGTCTTTAAGCTTAAAAAGGCATGAAATAGTACATTCTAGTAAAAAGCCGTTTAAATGTAAAATTTGTCAAAAAGAATTTACTCGGTCCTGCACCTTAAAACGCCATCATATAATACATTCTGATAAAAAGCCATTTAAATGTAAAATTTGTCAAAAAGAATTCAATCAGTCTCAGCATTTAAAAAGACATGAGGTAATACATTCTGGTAAAAAGCCATTTAAATGTACAATTTGTCAGAAGGAATTCATTCAGTCTAATCATTTAAAAACCCATAAGCTAATACATTCTGGTGAAAAGCCATTTAAATGTACAATCTGCCAGAAAGAATTCAATCAGTCTAATCATTTAAAGTCCCATACGCTAATACATTCTGGTGAAAAGCCATTTAAATGTAAAATTTGTCAAAAAGAATTCACTCAATCCTCTAACTTAAAAAGCCATGAGTTAGTACATTCTAGTAAAAGCCATTTAAATGTAAAATTTGTCAAAAAGAATTCAATCACTCCTCCACTTTGAAATACCATGATTTAATACACTCTGGAAAAAGCAATTTGAATGTAAAATTTGTCACAAAGCATTTAATTGGTCCTCTGCCTTAAAACTCCATAAACTAATACACTCTGGTAAGAAAACATTTAAATGTACAATCTGTAAGAAAGAATTCAATTAGTCTCATCATTTAAAATCCCATAAGCTGATACATTCTGGTGAAAAGCCATTTAAAATTTGTCAAAAAGAATTTAGTCAGTCCTGCACTTTAAAACAACATGAGGTAATACATTCTAGTAAAACGAAAATTTAAATATACAATATGTCAGAAGGATTCAAATCATTTAAAATCCCATAAGCTATTACATTCTGGTAAAAATCCATTTTAATGTAAAATTTGTCAGAAAAAAATTATATATTTTCTTCATGCTTAAAGTACCATGAGATGTTTCATTCTTTTAAAACATAAGTTTGAGATATGTTAAAAAAAAATGTTTTCACTAAGTCATATTTTACATACCATCTGGTACATCATTGTGGAAGAGGGGCATACTGGTTTTCAAAATCAGCCCTAACATTTCTATGCTATCCGGCCCCCAAAGTATATGCCATATGATGGGAATCAAATTATACATAAGCCTATCCTTAAATCTTTATGCCAACTTTGATAATGTGATGAAAACTGGGTTTCTGTAACAAAATGCATTTTCTACTAGCAGGTAGCCTGCATGGTTAGCTATATGAACAATTTACTCAATGATTTTTCAAACTAAATGACACTTGAAATTGTTTTTTTTTATAATGTGAAAAACATAACATGCTACCTTATGGGCCTATATTAACATAACCATGTACTTGATATTCACATACAAGGCTCATTAAGATCCCCCATCAATGAACTATTCGACTGTGTCCAAATGGATTAGTCTTAGAACATCTTTATTAACAGCCATCAGCATAAAATTTTCTGCATTTAGTCATGATGCTTCTCAGCCTAGTCTATCACATTTTTAATATGCAGTCAGTGACTTTGTTCATAAGCACCTTGTGTACAAGATAGCATAATTACAAGATACACCCTGGTCAATAAATTTTACATCTTTAAAATTCTGTATCTATAACAGCAACTATTGCATCATCTGCATGTTCTCCTCAAATTTAGTTTCACTCTAAGCCATGTTCTCCTGCATATGGAATTAAATGTACAAATCCATTTCTTCATTCTCAATTCTTTTGTTTGGCCACCTCATAAGGTCATGTGCTGCTTTCTTAATAAATCTTGTTCGAGTGTCTACACCTTGATACCTTGAAGTTGGCTTCACATACAATGTTATATGCTCTCAGAGCATCACATTCATTTGTTTAAAAGTAATTTAGTATCCTTGTGGAAAACAGAATACTGTCATAATACTGTCAAGGTTGTTTCATAGTTTAGCAAAGTCTCTTTGTATTTCAGTTTAAGTCTGCATCATTGTTGTCTTGACATTAGTGTTTCTTCGTTAGAAAATGTGGCTTGATTTCTAGAAATAAATGACATTGAGCTTTGTCCACAGTCTTTATGTTTTCATTTTTAAATTTTGTTTATATAAGCATTCAATTGGTATGCATTTCCATTTAATTTTATACCAAATATAAAATTTTTTGACAACAAACAAAAAGGGTATTAAAATTTAATCATATAAGGTAAGGGAATACAGTGAGCCGAATGAATAATTCCATTCTAATGTGGAAAATAACAGAGAAATATGCAGGATATGTTTCCATAATACCTAAGACATCTAATAGTACAAATCTTTAGAAGAAGATGAATAAGTTTTAACTTGGTACAATTTATAGGTTTTTGCTAGATTCAATGTAAACTTTCATCTTTCTTTAATAAAAACAAAAGAGTTCTATTGTGAAATAATGTTTTAATAAAAAATAAATAACTTGAAAGTTTTGAAAATTGATTATCTGAACTTTAGATTGTTCTTAATAAAAGATGTGCATGATCTTTAAAAGCTCTATGTTTAAACAATTTTCAGAGATTTCATTTTTAGTGGCCCCCAAAAGGGGAAAAGATGCTATTAGTTTTGTGTGGAATACCTGTCTGTCATTTAGAACTCATAAACTAGAAAAGATAATGAAAATCTGACATCATAATATTTTCGACCATTCAAAGTTCTAATGCAACGTCTATTTTTCTCTTTTCTGAAAGTGAAAAATCTAATTTTTTGAAATCTCTTATGCAAGCAGTTTTTTCATAGAAATACACCACTTTTACAACTATTCACTATTAATAGTAACAAACACTGGAGGCTCTTTAGTAGGGTAAATATCCGTTACCCATATTTATAAACACATCTTTGCAAATGGTTTTATATTTTGTGTCAAAAAATATTTTTTTTATATTTGTACACAAAAAAATGTTAACTTTTTTTTTAGAGAAAAAATCTATTTAGTATGCATACTATTTAGAATGGACATAATTTAAAACAACAATTAATAATTATTTGTTCAAATTATTGTGTGAATCGCAGACCGCTGCCCGCACAGAAAGGACGTAACTAAATAAATTTGTTTTTTCTTGAGGATTTGAATAAGAGATCAACCCTTTACAAAACAATTAGATCAATTAGATATTCATTATAAAACATCAATTAGGCCAGGTTCAAATCAAACTTCACATTCACCTATTCTTTAGTCTGCTGGGGCACCACCCAAGATCTGTCAATCTTCTTTCTCCTTTCTTTCCTGTCATTTGTCTTTGATAGAATTTCATTCTGATGTTCTTTCTGAAAATATTGAAACATGCCTTTTTACCTGCCTTGGTGGACCACTTTGGGGCCGATTTCGAGTTTGTGTTTCTGTTTTTGTAACCTTTTTCATTTTGTAGTTATGTTGAATATTTGTATAAATTTGTCTAAAGCTCAAAAAAAAATCAAAGTCTAATATTTTCTGATATTGTTCTGCTGTGTATGTAATATAGGAAAGAAACATTTTACTGTGTCAAAATGTATTTGTTAGAATGAATGGATGGTCACTTTTACTCTTAGAAATAGGATAAACTGCCCTATATCTTGTATTTAGAAATATATGTCAAAGTTTTTCATGTAATAATTATTATTCTGATTATACATCTTGTAAAACTTCAATGCTCTTGTTTTCAATGAAACCTGTGAAGAAAATGTTTTGAAATAACTTTTTTCTTTTCATTGAAAATATCAGCTATAAAAAAACTCAATATCCTTTGAAGTTACAAATTTGTCTTTGTCATATTATTATGTTTAATTTTTTATATATATAGTTTGAAGAGTTGTATTGGGAACAATCTGTAATGCCTAATAATATTTCAATTGTATGAATAAATATTTGATTTATAATATTATATAAATATCTACATTTAACTACAAATCTGACTAATGGAGAGAACAAGTTTACACTTGCACCATCGCACAAATATTGCGTTTTTTTTTTACCATTTGTTACGTATTAAAAGCAAAATAATTGCTCTATGAAGATGCATAGACATAGTGTTTTTGTTTTACAGTTCCTTTACCTAGGTTGCTTATTCATCTGGTCAAGAAAAAAATTAAAGGAGCTCCAAAGATAAATTATAACAGTTGATTCATATTTTTGGGAAGAGAATTACTAGCCATTTGGCCACATTGGGAAAACTCAAGTTTGACCGTCATAGTTTTTCAACGCTTTAAAAAAAAAATTTCCAGTCCTCTAGCCAAATTTCATTATCTTGAAAGGCTACGTCTTTGTGTATTTCTGCCATTAGCCCTATTCATTTAAGAGTTATATAAAATTATATACCAGTACTTTCAAGAACATCTTTCTAGAATATTATTATGCAGTATATAGTCAAGCTAAAATCCAACCCCATAAACCCAGCTTTTGACTCCATATGGAGTATTTTAACCTATCCAGTTGTGTAAAGAACAGTTGAAGCACCACACATGATCTATACGACTGTACATCTTTGTCCATTCCTCTGTTTTTTTTCCATAGAATCTCTTTTAAATGACAGGTCAGACCATTCTTTTACATTGTCTCCCCTTCGCTATCTATACACTACTAGATCTTATAATATATAATAGATCTAGACTCTGATTAGTAACAAACTGCAATTTTTAGAAGAAAAAAAAATCCATTTCAATAATAAAAGTCCTATATTATTTTTATTTTCTGCTAGCTTAAATAGACAGGTCCAAAAAAAGAAATTTAAATATCTAGAAAGATCTAGACTAGAACTGGATCTACATGTGTAGGCTTTATAGTCTCTAGTTGCAATAAAAGATCATATCTTCTTTTATCATTAATAAAGTAAGTCAATAGGTATTATATTTAGACTACTAATCTCAGTTCAAAATTCTTAACATCAGTCAAAACCTCTCTATTAATCTCCAATTAACTAAATATCTACAAAATCACCAAAGATTAAATAATAATACATTTTAATTCTTAATATTAAAAATGGATTCCAATGTTGTTATAAACTTAAAATTATTAGATGAGTAAGTTTTATGTAAACTTGATATTTGTAAAAGATATTAAACAATTTATACTAATTATAAATGCTTAAAATGGCAGTATTTTCCAAAATAAATATAATAATGATAATCTTCGGATTTAATTTTTATATTATCTTTCAAAATGCAGTTAAAGCTGCATGAACTATTTTTTAAAAAAAATTATGAAACTGACATCTAAAAGTTTCAAGCTACATAGAAGGCTATAAGGTATATCATGGGGAAGGAAAAAATGGACTAAGCTGAATGGGTTGAAAGTTAAAATCAAAAGGAAATCTTAAATTGTGAAGAACATATGGAAAGTAGCAACTAAAAATGAATCTTTCAATTTTGATCAACATGTCATTGAGTTGCTCTGATGCAAGATTATAAATACAAATATGTCTCTACATCTGTTGGGTAAACTTCTTACAACTTGATAGCTGAGATTGTAATAACATACAACTTGTACAAATTGTAAGACAAATTTCCATACGGACAATAAAGGTTATTATTATTATTATTATAAGTTTAAAATACTCGTACAGAGCTCTATAATATAAATATATGTCATTCAATAGTGTAATTGAAAGAAGTGAAAATTATCTAAAACATGGTATAGAGTTTGTAGTTATTGCTATATTATCATATTTTTTATCTCATTAAAGTTCAACTTATTTTAGAGTTTTAGTAAACCATTGCGTGTTATTTTATATGTACAGCAAACTATTGAAATAAAATATTAGTTATAGTAATTTATTCTTGTAGATCTATAAATCCACTGCATTTTGATACATATTAGAGGCATGTAGCATTTATAGTTTTTGTGTTATGATTTTTTGAAAATGCACATTTTTAAAATGTTTTTTTACCTCCATTTTTAAAATATGCTAAAAATGATAAAATGCAGCATTTGACATAAGTAAATAAATTCAAAACATTTTTTGACAACTTTGAAACGTGTTATCTGTGTGCACATGCATGATTTTACTAAGTTTCATCTCTGGAAGTCTTATAGTTTTATCTTTAAATGTCCAACAAAAACACAGGTTTAAAAGACCAAAAATATATTTTAAAAAAAAAGAGTTTTTAAAAATGTGTAACTTTCTTAATATTTGAGCTATAGGCATAAATTTAGTATCCTTGGATTGAAAATCCCGAGCTCTATTGAAATAAATAAACAGGACTTTTTTGAAAATCGGTTTTGGCCCTAATATTAACATAACCATGTATTTGAAATTCACATACAAGGCTCATTAAGATCCCCCATCAATGAACTATTCGACTTCCCAAATGGATTAGTCTTAGAACATCTTTATTAACAGCCATCACCATGAAATTTTCTGCCTTATGTCATGATGCATCTCAGCCTAGTCTATCACATTTTTAATATGCAGTCAGTGACTTTGTTCACGAGCTCCTTGTGTACAAGATAGCATAATTACAAGATACACCCTGGTCAATAAATTTTACATCTTTAAAATTCTGTATCTATAACAGCAACTATTGCATCATCTGCATGTTCTCCTCAAATTTAGTTTCTTTGTATTTCAGTTTAAGTCTGCATCTTTGTTGTCTTGACATTAGCGTTTCTTGGTTGTAAAATTTGGCTTGATTTTCAGAAATAAATGACATTGAGTTTTGTCTAGTCTTTATGTATTTATTTTCCATAATTCAAAATGAAATAAAATTGTGGTTATATGGTTATATATATTGTGCCAGTGAAGTATTACCGTAACAACAGGTGATGGCAAAGTTAATTAGACTGCTGATGGTTGCCTCATAGAAAAGTTTAATTATTGTTTTGTCGATGTTAAATTTTCTAAGATACAATAGCCGTTGATGAATTTTGATGTAAAGGATATTGACAATGTTCACTCCATTTCAGTTTGTTGTTTACGGTTGTACCTAAGTATATTTATATACTTGCACTTGCTCTACGGTTAGTTTTCTGAACATTTAAAGTTACTATACAACATTTTACGATGGGAGTGTCAGCTGATTGACTCTAAAAGGCATTTGTGTATATGGTATACAATAATCGCTCTTGCAAATCTTCATTCCAATGAGATCATTACATCCGCTGAAGACATTGCCCTCTGGTCGTGTTGACTTTTAATTTATGCTCTTCGTAAATTGATTTATACTGAGCAGACTGAACAATATATGTAAGAAAGTCAAAAGGAGGCGCACTTGAACAAAGACTATTGTAACGCTAAGAGAGCAACTCTAAGAAATTACTTTTTCAACCCTAAACAGTGGCGTCACTAGTGTAGGTGTAATCCAGTGCGGTGAGCTCGTGGTGTGAACACCTCCTTTTTTTTTTCACCACCACCACCTCGCATCAAAAGAATTCCCGCTGTTCAGTTATTTTATTGTATCATGAAACACTGCGCTTAATGGCTACCTTAACCGATGGTTACACATTTTCGTTGTTTATGACGATTCGTCAATAGTCAAGAAGTCATATTACAATTTTAAAACTGGAAAAAATCAATATGTTTTCCATATTAGATCGGAATCATCTTTTTTATGTTTGTGAATGAAACACAGCAACATTTCTTAGTAGGCCTATACATTAAGGTTTAAGTTTTAAAAAAATCATTAAAAAAATATGTAGAAACTTTACATTTAAAAGCGAACAAGAAATAATAAAACGCTGGAACTAATTTTAAGTTTCCTTTTCTGACTTTCCTATTTTCAAAAGTATATATACCGGTAACTTAGTCAAATCCGATAAATTTTACGAATTTTCAGATACCAGGATGTCAGGG